AGAGCTGTCTGCTTATGTTGACCGTACATCCTTCATTTGTATGCAGGTTTGTAACTTATTCCAATTATATTTATCATAATCATTGGTTTTCACATAGAAATCGCATATTTGATTTTTTTCTGTTGTAAATCGTCTACATTTTGTTCTGCAGGACTATGATTACTTTACAGTGGAGCTCGAGAAAAGCGCTAAAGGTTTTGGCTTCAGTATTCGAGGAGGCAGAGAGTACAAGATGGACCTGTTTGTGTTGCGCCTTGCAGAGGATGGTCCTGCTATACGAAATGGAAGGATGAGGGTGAGATAAGGAAAACCACGACAAGAGTGAAAGCACTCTTTGGCAGATGGTTGGGATTGCACTTGGTGAATAGTAATGGCTCGGTTTTATTTTTCAAAATGGAAAAAGTAAGTCTGATTAATCCGAAGTAAGCCAAACACACACATACATCCATCTAAATGGTCGTGTCACATAATATCACTCAGCGTCCTTGTTAAAATTTAGTAATGGTGTAAAGTTTAACAGAGCATGGATTTTTCCTTCTGCTCAAGTGAGTAAGTATGAATGCATTGAGTAAATTGAGTGAATTGAGCAAACCTTTTGCTCACTCTTAACCACTCGTGTTGAAATGTACTTGAACAAGTTGCTCAGTGGAGGTTCCCCAAGAGAAGACTGGTTCTGTGGAAAAGTTACTCTGCTGTGAGTAAACCGAGGGTGGCAGAAACTGACCCGCTCCTGTGTGTGTCTCGTCCAGGTTGGAGATCAGATCATAGAGATTAATGGAGACAGCACCAGGGACATGACTCACGCCCGCGCCATTGAACTCATCAAAGCGGGAGGCAGGCGGGTCAGGCTGCTGCTAAAGAGAGGCACAGGACAGGTGCCAGAATATGGTGAGTTTTCCTTACAAAGAGACGCAGTCTCATTGTTTACACTCTTACTAAAGATTTACTGTTTGCTCTTCAACTTAACTCAAGAACACATTAACATGCATTCATATCTGTCCACTTTTTACTCCTCGACTAATATCTGAAAGCCTACTTTGAGTAAACAGTAGATGGTAACGAGCGACTCTCAAGCCTTCGTGTGTTGTAACCCCTCTGCTTTAAGTCTAATGATTGGTATAGGCTTTTATTTGCCTTCCCTCAGGAATGGTACCTCCCAACCTCTCCATGTGCATGAAAGGTGACACACTAAGCTCCCCCTATTTCTTCCTAATGGGCCACTCTAAAGACACGGTTTGTGAAAACTGCATGTCTCTCTCTCTCCATACTGATTAATCTGTGTGCTATAACTGTGGTCACGAGTTTTTGCATGGGAAAATAGCTGACATGTGTGCATCTGTGCTCGTGTGTGCTATAGTAAGAGTGGAAGATGGTTTGTAGTAAACTATTGGGTCTAATTGTCCTGAAGAGGGTTTTGAAGTAGACTTTGTACTCGAGAGCTGCTCGGGATCAGTCCGTCACACACAGCTGCAAATATGTTAACTGTTTACAAGCACTGAATAAATCCTTACACGTAAGTCTGTTGCTGTGCTGCTTATACACATGTGCATGCAAGTTTGTCTGATATTATAAAAGAACGTGTTTATCTCTGGGGTGTTTTCCCTTTCTTTCTGTGTCTGTATGCATGTGCATGATCATTTCCACCTCTTTCATATCAGTCCTCTTGAGCATATTGTTTTCCTCCCTGACAGACTGTGCCGGCCCCTGGGATTCCCTTTCTACAGCCCACTCTGCCCTGCAGGAAGTGACCCTGGAAGCTCACCTGAATCCATTGCTCTCATCCCATCCATCGTCAGCCCCAGATTCCCCTCATCGGCTCCCTCTAGAGGCCACAGTGTGCATGGCAGACAAAGCTCCAAAGCTGACAGACCACAGCTCCATTAGAGGGGCTGCAGGTGGCAGGTCCACCGAGCAGAAATGCATCATCAGGGGGCAGGGAACCCCTCAGGGGTCGGGAGAGATGGACTGTGGACCGGGCGACAGACAGCTTCGTGCTTTGCCTTCCAAAGCTATTGTGGGAAAGTGCATTGACAGAAGAGAGAGGCAAAGGGAGACTTGCTCCCCCTGCTGTAAGAGAAAGGATCTGCATACACAAGCGTTAAGCACTATCTGGCCCTGGGACCCATTTGCTGGTGTGAATTTGAACGGAGCCTCTCAGGGCAGTGGAGATGGACATATCAGCCTCCAGGAGAGGCTGGTGTCCCGAGGTCTGTTCTCCAGAGAAGATGAGCGGGCCGGTGGCCACATTGGGCTCTACTGCCCCTCCAAAAACGTGGAAGATCCTCCAACAAGGAGTGCTGCTGCCTCCCCGAGGCCCTGGAATGTCCCTGGGTCTGACAAACTGCCTGGCACCCTGAGGTCCTGGACCTCCACAGTAAGCAGGTAGAAGGGATCTTACTGGTTTGGGCCGAGTCACACTGTATGGCTCCTCATTCAGTTCACCACTGGATCTTTCAGAGAACCAGTAGATCTCCCTTGCCGCCTCTGTCTGCCCTGTTTTCATCGCCATCGACTTCTGAGATCATGTTTTATATTTCAGTTGTTGTTACAAGATGATTATTACACCCACCACCTTAAAGACAAAGAAACTTACACAGCTATTGTAACATATGGTCTAAACCTTTGGGGACCCTTTTATGCGACTTCTGATTTTCTGATCACAGATGGAGCAATGACGCCTGACTCTGAGTGGAGCTGTACTTTCGATATGTACCTTTAAATGCTCGACTGTATCTGGTTCAGACTGTTTAGTGCAGCGTGGGCTCACACAAGGAAGAGAAACATATGTAGAACCAGGGGATTTCTGTTTTCTTGCCCTGTTTTCTCTGCGCAGTGGGATGAACCAGACTACAGGTGTGTCAGATGGAAGCAGTGACACTGAAACTCCTGGAACACACGGCACTGACCCCAACCACAGCCCAGTTAACCTGACATATGTTAAATCGCACATGCCTACCAATATATCTCATACTATAAATGTAAAGATGTGAAAAATATGTACATTTGGTAAACTCAGAAACATACCTATTGGTGTTTTTGAGGCAGTGTTGTAGTTAGACACATTGTTTAAAAAAAACAAACAAACAAAAAAAGAAGCAGGACAGTATTTTAGGATCACTGTTTCCACGGCCTCGTCTAAAAACTACATATCAAAGACTGTGCGAGTCACCACACCCGGACCGCCGAGGCAGGCGGCGTTTGTGTGCATGGATATACACCACCATGTCTTTAGACAGGGACTCGTGTCTTTTAAAGGCAGAAAATCGAGATGTGGAGCAGACCGGTCGGCACTCATGAGACGAAAAGGATTTTTTTTCCCCACGAAATTGAACAAAATTGAACTTTTGTGTAACTGAAGACAGTTGGCTTAGTAAGAACTCATGATACTCTTCTGAGTTATGTACACAACTTGATCACAGTCAACCATGCAGTCATTGTGCAGAATTATAAGCTGTGTTGTATTCATTTTAATGATCAAAAGGAAAAATTTGTCCAGTCTCTATTTCCCATTTCTATGCCTTTAACTGTGCTAAGTGTACCACATCACTGTGGGAGAGGGGCATCGGTGCGGGGAAGAGGAGGCCGATGGTTATGAGGTGGGGCAGAGTGCCTTACTCGAACTAATGCAGAGCTGTTGCCGTTGTGAAGTATTTTGGGAACTGAATGCAAAACAGATATCAGCGACCATGCACACGCGTCAGCAAACCGCTAAGTTTCGTCGGACGCCAAGCAGTATATATCTTGATGCACTCGGCTGTATAGCTTGTCAGTGTCAATGATTGCCCTTTGTCCCCTTGTGTTTTAAAGGGGATAACATGTAGCCTGTAGCATCACATCCTCTTCTTAGAGTCGTCTGGGAGTGTAGAGCTGTGAACGTCTATGGAGACAGGGCTGTATCAAAGAGGACCACGGTTTCTGTGTTTCAGCTTAACGTTAAGTTTGTATTCTTGCCCGCAAATGTCACATCTGTGAAACATACATGCATTTAAATATGACGTCACTGTCCTCCTGCATTTCTCCATTTCGATGTCATCAATTTCTCTCAGCGGGATGTGTGCTCTTTATTAAAACTTTATCACTTAAGCTTTTGAGTACTGGAGGACCAGATTAATTAAAAAAAAAAAAAAGATTGCGACTGTTTGACTGAATGCAACATGATGGTACATCCAAGCTGTACTCGTAAGCTGCTGGGAAAGCCAGGCACCTGCAGACTGGGATACTAGTAAGACTTTGTGCATTGAGAGTCATCGGGCCTGATCCTGATTCGCGGTGGATTCTGACTGAGCTGTGTGTTCTGTGATTAAAATGGTTGTGGAAAGACGCAGTAGGCTGTAGAAACGTGTTTGCCGTATGTACAAATGTCAAAGTTAGGAAACGCTGAAAGAATACGTCATCCAGCCCTCTGTCTCCATCCAGGCCGCCCCCACCCCCACCCCTTGCCTGCTGTGACCGATTTTTGTATGAAGAAACAAAAAAAATCTGCTTATCAGAACCTGTGAAGGATGGCACGCTCATAAACCCCCACTGAGATCAAGTATAACTGTGTAGTGTTAATTGTGTACTATTCACCTTGTACAGCTGTATTCCTACAAATATGGTTTACTGTATCATTGATACTGTAGTTTCAAAGACGTGAACAACTATTTTTATGAAATGCGACAGTACTGATATATTACATTTTGCTAAAAAACAAAACTTGTTTACTGAAAGATATTCTGAAATACTGTCAAATAAACTCTTGACATGGTGTAAAATATTCTTTTCTACAGGTTCTTGCTTGTAAAATTGGGACGAGAGAAAATAATGGATCAGTTTATTCATCAATGTATAAATAATCAACAATTTGGTTTATTAAGTAGTCGTTTACCCAAACAAAACAGCAAATATTCACTGCAGTTAAGCATCGCTATTGAGGAGTACTAGGTGAGGGCTAGTTCTTTTAGGTTCAGCAGATAACAAGATGGTGTATCGGTCAGGATACAGGAAGGAGGACAAGAGGCTTCCACTTTGCTGGATTGTCACCGCCAGCTGTTTTATTGCCACCTAGATGGTCAGTGTTGCCAGCAGTTTCCAGTCACGAACTTAACACTCGGAGCATCACCGTGAAGGATGGCAACCAGGAACACAGCTTGATGAGGTAAAACAGACCTAACACGGAAAGACCATCTCCCCTCCTGGAGTAGCAGGATGAGCATTTTAGAAAATTTCTGCATTTATATTTGACTAAATGATGTTTTCCTATTTATTCTTATCATGGATATGCCTACGTCATTTCCCGCAACTCCACCCCACACAATATTGCAGAGCAAAGACATAAAATCTCAGAGCCTTTTATACAATCACTTTCAGCCATTTTTTTTTTTATTGCTAAATTGTGTGTGCCGTTTATTTAAAAGAGCAACCAGCAATCACAACACCGCTGGCTCTGAGACTTTCAGCACTTCCAGCCATAGACGGGTCAGATTGTAGCAGGATGTACAACACAGTTAAATGCAGACAGTGAACTTAAAACTTATTTTCCCACATCAGTTTCCTATTTAACCAATGTCACCAACAAACACTCTTATACTTTTCACACAATTCCACTTTAAAAGGGACACACATCCATCCATCAACGCTTCTCTGGTGGAGCTAATCCCAGCTGCCATCGGGTGATAGGCGGGGTATACCACAGACAGATCACCAGGCTATTGCAGGGCTAATAGTTACGTCCATTCACGCTCACATATACACCTACGGCCCATTTAGAATCACTGCTTAACCAAACCTGCATGTCCCTGGACACTGGGAGGAAATCACAGGGAAAAGATCCAGGCTCAGCTCAGTTAGCAGATGGATTTAAACCCAGAACCCCAATACCCGTGCACACGTTTCTCCCTTTTTGCATGTGATGAGATGCATTTTAGACCGGGGCACTGAGAAGTTGTTCCATGTCCCTGACAGGTTTAAGTATAACATTCACTTCTGTAAAAAGGCTGAAGTATGAGGAAGGGGCCCCACAGCAGAGGGAAGTGAAAATGTGTTGGCCTGCAGGTATCTTTGCAGTAAATCTAATCAATTCTACAACATTTATCTAAGAATTTCTGCTTTCCATCTCTCCAAGTGATGCTGACACGTGACAAGTGGAGGTACTGACTACAGTCTTTCATAAGTAGATGAATCACTGCTTCTGGTTTGTGGAATTACACAGTTAAAACAGATACAAATACACATTTTTAACAAAAAAGGGAACATTTTATAATAAAACTTGTAAACATCTCCCCAGCATGTCATTGCTGTGTGTGGGTAAGGCCAAGATTGTGAGCATCTGCTGTTACTCAGTGTAGTTTTCAGCAGGAAGCTGAGTTTCACTGTTTTCCTGCGCTGGCAGGTCATCCTTCTGAGGAAGGAGAAAATAAGAAATTAGTACCACTAAAAAAAAAAGAAAGAAAGAACTAAATTGCTCTTGTACTTGTTTTACTTCTGCGTTAACTTACAGGTTTGTAGATTCCCATTTGGAAACGACAGCAAACTACATCAACCAAGAATCCCACCAAGCCGTGGATCATACCTGCCGGGAGAGAAAAACTTTAAATACTGATGTTCATGTTCAGGGTTTAGATGAGGTGAAAGCAGCTTGGTCTAAGTTGTTACCTGCTGCTTTTATGCAGTGGCTAAATCTGTGAATAATGCATAAAGTTTTTCTCTTCATCCAGGTGGATTAACAGGATTCATTTAAGAATGATGGTTCACAAACAGAGTCACAGGATCCTCCAGGGCTTAGTCTTGGCAGGAACACCATGTTTGGGATTACAACATTCAGGTACTTCTGCTGTTAAGCTGAAGATTTCTGTGAGAATACTTGGATCTACTTTGTTAAATTACATGCAAAGGTCTCATATCCTGTTTTACTGGTTAAAGGGTCACTCTAAAGCTTTTTGTTATAATAGCCAAAGTATCAATGAGATCAGCCTGTGTACAAATGACTCCTTCAGACTTTACTGAACTGTTTCTGTTCTGCTCTTGACCCTGTACGATATCAGTGAGATCTTAGACACAGAAACTCCACCCACCTGCTGTTTAATCTCTCTGGAGAGGCTGCGAGGTGCAGCCAATTAGAAAAAAATGGCTTAAAACTGGATATGGGAGCTAAAACCACTTAACACAAGTCGACAACATGAGAGGTTCCACTATAAGATAAATAAGTATTCATTTGTACTGTGAATCGTGCAAAGCTAAAGTATAAAAGTCTATACATGAGCATAATAAGAGCACTTTATGATGGGAATTTGTTAGTATGGTTCTTGCATTATAGCATGATTTAATTAGTTAACTTGCAAGGAGCGATTGTCATGAAATGCTTGTAAGCAGCTCTGACATTCAAAATCTATTTTCAAAGTTTTAAAGCTTAGTGTATCTTTTGACTTTCCTCCTATAAAGATGTGACGACCTCCCCTGTACCCTTGATGACGAGTTTTGACACGTCAGTATACGTCAACAATGTCGTGGTTTGACGATCATTAGAATAACTTCCAGGTTTTTCCAAGGGTAGCTGCATAAACAGCACCGCAGTAACTTCTTATCCACATGCAGTGATTTTGTTCTATAAGCAGGCTGAAATATGACCAAAACAACTCAGGTCAGAAAAGAGCTTCAAGGGTTACTCCTGTTAGGCTTTCAAGGGGTAAAGGGTTAAAGCTGTTGCTGCTGCTTGATGCCTCCTTGTTCTGAACAAACAATCACTGTGACCTCCAAGTTGGTTTTCAGTCAGGAGAGCAATCTGAAAATGTTACTTCAGCACACTCTTAATGCAGACGGCACTCAAACAGCATGAGCACGTTAGCTACCTGTGGTGGAGAAAATGCCTCCGATGATGCCGCAGAGTCTGACGAGGAACTGCCACAGAGGCATGTGCTGCTCAGTGACTTTGACCATTAGTGAGCTGATATCATATTTCATAAAGATCCCTGAGACTCCGTGGCTGCCTGCAGCATGGTTTATCACACGTTCCTGTGGGACAGCCAAAGGCATACAAATGCTTTCAGTACAATGATGCACTATCTACTCCCCAGCTAAAACAGTACAAACCCAGACCTACCCGCTCAGTGACGGAGTACTGATGCGTGTCTGCAGACACTTTGTAGGTGTTCAGTTTGGTTGGCACAATGGTGATGAAGTACTGAAACATGTGGTTAGCTGGAAAGAAGCATCAAGAGCCATCAGTGGAAATAAAAGTTTATCAGAGCACTTTAATAACAAGTAATTCAACAACATCTGAAACACCAACTTACAATCAATAGCAATTTTCTCTGTGCCGTCCAGAGGGCTGATCATTCCAGGAAGTGGCTCTCCGAAGGACAGGTGGTCAATCCGGTGAGAGAAGTTGTAAGCTGTAACAAATACAAAACAATAAATAATCTTTATAACATATAAAACAGTTTAATTTCCATCTGTTGCTGCCATTTGGTGTCAGAAAGTCTGCAAACCTACAGTCATGGCTGACGAGGGCGGCTAAATGGGCGTGACCTCGAGGATGCGGGATGGACCTGTAAGTGGATGAAAAGGTCAGCGTTAACTTTATATGTAAATCAATGACATGAAAACAGCCAAAATATCCCATGCTAGTGATCTAATTTGCAAACAGAGCAGCACAGAGGTGAGCAGAGGTTAGAGCACGGGTATCAAGGCCCCGACTCCAGCCCTTGATAATAAGATGGGAGCAAAACCAACTTCTGTGGGGAAATTTGTATTTGATAATCAATGTGCAAAACTATAAGCTTGCAGAGAGCAATGTCACCTTTCCATATAGCGGTAGAAGCAAGTCATTTCAGTCTCTGTGTGATTCCCCTCCTCATAGCCACTGATGTCAATGCAACTTTCCGTCTCTCTTGATGGAAATGTGTTGAAATAGTTTTACAAGAGCGACTGGGATTCATCCCACATCAGCATAAAGAAGTACTGAACAGCAGAGCTGTGCGATAATCAAATTTTAATTTTAGCTTTCAGATTATTAAACCAAGATAACAAAAATCATTACTGTTCCATATTCTATTCATTTATAATTACCACTCCACAAAAGGCCAGATCCACTGCCTACAATCAATTACTTCATTCAGTTAAATTATAATTAAAGTTCGTGGAAATCCCCTTCACTGAAAAAACAAAACAAACTTCTACTGTTTTTCTGTCTTTGTTTTGTAATTGTGTTATAGGGTGGCTGTAGCTCAGGTGGTAGAGCAGGTCATCTACTGATCGGAAGGTTGGTGGTTCGATTCCTGGCTTCCCCTAGTCTGCATGCCAAATATCCTTGGGCAAGATACTAACCCGAAATTGCTCTCCGATGCATTCATCGGAGTATGAATGTGTGTGAATGTCAGTTGTGCTTGTGCGAATGGGTGTGAATGGGTGAATGCACAAGTTGTGTAAAGCGCTTTGAGTGCTCAGAAGAGTGGAAAAGCGCTATATAAGAACTAGTCCATTTACCATTTATAATTTGTGTTGATTTTTGCCAATCCTACTAGACATGTCTTGCATGCAGCTCAATAATCCAAGTGAGGAACTCCCAGAAAGTTAATTCTGTTCATTTAGATTTTCATCAGGCGAAGAGACTTGGATAAGTGACGAAACAGCATCCAGATGAACAGAATCAACTTTTTGGCAGCCTTACTAGACAGTCCGGACTGTGGTGACTGACACGTGGAGTCCAAAGACGATGCACGCTCACATTAGGGCCATGCAGGAAGCAGTACCTGCTATGATTGTTTCTGTACAGTGGGAGGACGTTTACAGTCTATGGTTCAAAATAAAAAACTGTGTTAAATAATACATCGTTTTGAGTGTTACCTACTTGCCAACAGTAATGTGGAAATTTCCTGCCACCTTGTTGACATAGAGATGTCCATGGATCCTGCAGGCACTCAGGGAAGCGGTGCTGTCCTCACTGCGGGGGGGAAACTTAAGCAATCAGCGTAATCGCACTTTCATTCACCTCCCAACAAAACACAGATAATCCTGAGGGTCC